AGGAGACCTAACCTGTGTGATCGAATCGGTCTATGGGAGGTGATCGGCAGGAGGCGGTCTCTCAGGTACCCAGGTCCAATGCCATGAGTAATATTACATTTAATTAAATAATGAGGGGGGGATTACAACCTTTCTTCACACATTTGTTAAGTTAATCACTGAAGCTGTTAAGTTAATAACATGGTTGTAAAGTGAATCTGGCTTTCCCATTGACTTTGTTTCTCAGAAAGTTGCAAAAGGTGAGCCCGTGACATCAGGGCACTGCAACCGCCATAAATATGAACCCGTTGCCAAGCTTCTGAACTTTGATCACATGACCCCTGGGAGGCTGCAACAGTCGCGTGAAAAATTGTCATAAGTCACTTTTTTCAGGGCCGTTGTAACTTCAAATGGTTACTAAACGAACCGATGTAAGTCGAGGACTACCTGTAGTTCCATTGTACCATGGTCAATTGCTATCAAAAGCTGCCAAAAGATTTTTTTTAAAAAACATGGAGCTCCTCCCCCAAATAACAAGCAATTATTTTTCCTCCTGCTGACAAACAGCTGATTGCCACCAAAGCTGGTTATTTGGGGTGTCTGCTCCGTTTTTTTAAAGGGGAGACTAGGTGGGGACCCAAGGCAACCTTCAAATGGACCTGCCCTTTGGAGAAGATCAAGGCCCCTGGAGAAGAGGGGATCCTACTGGCTGCAGATCCCACTCCGTAAGTAAGGAGCTCAGATCAGGTCTGGTCTCTTGCAACCTTTTCCCTTCAGCTGTCCAGGTTTTTTTTAAAGTATGCCTGGGTTTTAATTATATATTTTCAACATTTACTATCTCTTGAGTTATGCCTAACTGACTTCGGACCTATTTTATAACTCCTCGCTGGACTTTTACAACTTTTTTTCCTGCTCTTTTACTGTTTACTATTAAATTCCAAATGATTTTCACTTTAGCTGTAAGGTTATTTGCAGTGAAAATATATTTCCTTTGGTAGTAAAAAAATCATCAAATTGGACTTACATTTACGCAGATTTATATTACAAATGTTACTCTTTCTAGGTTTTTTTTAAAAGAGCGTTGATATTTATCTTTTAATTTTGGATGGGAAAATTTCCCTTTCTTTAACCTCAGGTGTGGAGGGGGTGTGGACCTTTTCCTGGGCTTTAACTTACCTGCTTCTCTTGTCCTTGTAAAAAGATTAGTGTGATTCTCAAATGTCTCTAAAAGGAGATAACATTTTATGGAAAGCATTTGGGGAAAAAAGAATACTCTCTAACGAGCTCCCTGTTGAGATCCGGACCCTTACTGCCCTCCCAGCCCTTCCGCAAAGCCACCAAGTCCTGGCTGTTCCAGCAGGCTGGGGGGCGGGGGGGGCTAAGAAGCATTTACCTCCACAGAAATTGTGAATGTTGGTTTTGTTTTTAATATGTTGTCTTTGTCTCTTTTTCCCCCTTTCCCTTGTCTTTTGTGAGNGTTGCTGCCAATGTCTTGTCTGTGAGTAATTAATGTGAATAAAGCATGGCTAACAGTAAGCTTGTGTCGGCGTTACTCATCGGATGGAGGGGAGTCAGAACAGAAACCTAAGTATAAAAAAAGTGAACAAGATACCAGCATTGGCTTTAAATTCCAGTGTGCACATTTTCATCCACACACACACACATACATACACACATCTGCCTCTCTTTAAATATCAGATGCAACTTGTACATGAAGTACACATGTGTGAAAATATTCAGTACACCATAGTCTTAAGATCTATTCATTCATATTACAATATCCGGGATGAGTCATGTATCTGCCAATCTGTCTAGCTTTTTATTTTCTCCTGTAAAAAAAAAGAGAAATAAGAAATAAACCCTGGCGGCTATTTTTCTGAAAAGAAAACTCTGTCTAAAGGACATTCTAGATGCTGGGGAGAGAAATACATATAGTCAAGCGTCACACAGGAAAAGGATTAAGCTCACCAACATAGTCATGAATTGGCCGGATGGTTCATGTATCATGTAGAAATACCATCATTCATCACACATTTTTATGAGTAATATTTGTGATACAAATTAAGTATGTGTGCGCATGCATAAGAGAAAAAGACAAATGGATGTGGCTGGGTTTTATTTTTTTAAAGCTGTTAACAAAAATGTAAAGCAACAGGGTTGGGATAAATTTTTATTGCTTTATTATAAGATGTATCGAACTTTGGAAGAAATCATCTAGAAATTGATGCCAACTAGGTAAATGTAGCTGCAAAAATTATTGCTGTCATTTAAATAGAAGCATGATATATTTCTTGGCAAACTCACCAAATGTCCTGAGTTTCTCCTTAGTCTGCAGTCAAATTGGCAGTTCATGAATGGGAAATCTCAAGGTCGAAGTTCTATTGTGTTTTAACCTTTACACTGGCTTGGATTAAATAATTTACATCTTCAGTTACAAAACCACCCTCTGTATGCTCTTGTGTCAGAGGCACCAAGGCACTTCCTGGTTGAAAGGATTAGCCAGTGATGTCACCGTTGCCCTGGAGATGCCCAGGAGGGGGCTCCTTTCACATCCCTGGCAGAACCTGGAGGGAAGGATGAGAGCTCAACCCCAACCTACACAGCTCTCAGGTGTCAAATGCGGGCTTGCTAACCTCCTCTCCAACATCCCACCCACTCAAGCCACCTTGCTCCTCACCCAAGGAGGACACTATCATTACTTCCACATTTGCTGAACTCTTCCTTTTCATTTCTGAACTGATTCCCACGATGAATTTTATAAGGCCCTCGTGCATGCTTGATTTCAGTATTATTAGTTCTTACAAAATGGATCTAGTTATAAATATTATATAGCCTTCCTCAACTTGGTGTCTTCAAGATGTGTTGGGACTACAGTTACCAGAATTCCCTGCCAGACTAATCCTTTCTGGTTTCCTATCTGACTACAAATTGATCCGCCCTTGCTTAGCTTCTGATCCTCAAAACCTTCAGCTAAGTACAGCAATTTGCAGGCCCAAAATATACAAGAGACCACCACTTTGGAGAAGGTCGCATTAAACATACATAAACATTGAGTTGAGTTCAGTGAGTCAGTGAAGAGAAATGACTAAGCACTGCATTAGTTTGCTTTTTACTGTCATCAAGATCAGAACATTTGTAGCTCAAAAGCAAAATGCATGTTAGCTATTAAAACTCAGTATAATGAGGAAGTAAAAAGGAATTTGAGACGAAGATAACATAGCTATTGATAACATTGATGCTTTCCTTCAGACTTGGAGAACCCACCTACCCCAGATTTTAATAGAACACCCAACAGACCCTGCATTTTTTAAACCTTCAGTGATGAATATGCTCTCTTTTTCTTCATACAGCTTACAGATAGGTTCATAAAGCTAAAATATTGTTCTTGGGCTGGCTTGAAAGAAAACCAATATAGAACCAATTTCAGACTATGTACGCAGCTATCAGTGATCAGATTGATACCGTGTTTCCCCGAAAATACGACAGGGTCTTATATTTTTTTTACCCACAAAATATGACCTTGGGCTTATTAAAGGGAAGGACTTATTGTTTTTGGGTTGCCAGGCGTCTGCTCCCTTGCGACCGGGCTCCCGAAGAGCCGGGCACAGCCTCAGGGTCAAATGGCTGTGTTGCGCTGTTGCAGCAGCAACACAGCAGCCATGAGGTGGCCATGCTCGCGAGCAGCTGCCCGGCAAACCCCCTTTCCAGCTGGGCACAGCACCGCTGACTGATCTAGCAATACCCGAATGGCACCAAGCAACGTGAGCGCCTGTTCTCCACCCTCCACCTCCCGCGGCTCGGCACCTTCGGAATGTCTCTAGGTGAATGAATGGGGCTCTGCATGGCTGGAGGGGGGGTTGCGCGAGCGGCTTTTCTGATCCCCGCTCACCTGACCCGCAGGGTCACGATGCCCTTGGCTAACTCTGCAGAACCAGGGCATCTCCGCTGCTGGCGCCGCCCGCCGCTTGTTTTTTTTTTTTTTCAGCTTTCAAAGCACAGAGGATGGATGCTGCTCTAGAAGTATGCTCTATGGTAGCGTACAACCATAGAGCGTACTCCCAGAGCGGTATCCTACCTTCGTGCTTTGGAAGCCGCAATGGAGGACGAATGCCATTCTGGGAGTACGGTCTATGGTTGTACGCTCTGCAGCCCATCACCATAGAGTCATATAGATGTAACGTTAGCATTCAATGGGGACACCACTTTGAAAAGTAAAGTTTAGTCTATAAACTAAATTATAATGAGGTTTATCTATCTGTCTGTCTGTCTGTCTGTCTGTCTGTCTGTCTGTCTATCATCTATTTATCATAATCTAATGTAAATATATATTATGTAAATGTATAGATTATAATTAAGTAAATTAAGTTCAATTAAAGCAGAGGTGGTATTCAGCAGGTTCTNGGGGGCGATATGCTGACTCTGTAAACCGCTTAGAGAGGGCTGAAAGCCCTATGAAGCGGTATATAAGTCTACTGCTATATCAACTCCTCAAAGGAACCTCGTCAATCCTCAAAACTCTGGGAATGCCAGGAGTAGCTTAGGAGCATTTCTTATGGGGCAGAGAGACCCACAGCACAGCCCCCTCATTCTAGCCTCCTTGAAGGCCTCGCTGAAAAAAGGCCTGACCCCCCCCCCTCCCCTCCCCTCCCCCCCAAAAGAGCTCACCTTTACCCATCACGCGAGTGAACTGGCCTGCAATGTCCCCTTCGGCGATCGGTGCCGCTCCGGATTCCCCGTCGCAGGGGGAGCCTGTTGGGGGCGGGAAGGGGTCGTCGGTGGCTTCCTTGTCCTCGTTGCTGCTTTTCTCCAGGCCCAGCGTGGGGCCCCCCCTCGGCTCAGCTGCCAGTGGCTGGGCCTCCTTGGAGGCGGACGCAGCATGCAGAGTGTGGAAGGCCTTGATGGGGGTGGTGAGGATCTGCTGCAGTTCCTGGAGTGCGTTCCATAGGTTGCCCCCTTCCAAAACGTCCTGGAGAGGGGGGGGGAAAGGAGGGGGGAGGAGGCCGAGGGAAATCTTTACTTAGGCATGAATGAAGGGCATTCCGACCCCCTTCGCTTCCCTCATGCTTCAGCCTGACGCTACAGTTGTTGAAATCCATTTTTCAGCCACAACAGCTGGAAACAAGGGGGCGGTTTTTCCTGCATCTGCTTAGCAACTGCTGGCTCTGATCCAGCATTCTGACCCAACAGCTGAGTGACACAACTCTCTGCCAGCAGCAAACAAACAGCAACACAACTCACACAGCTTCCCAAAACACACACACATCCTATGCCGAGGCAAGCAACATCAACAACAGTGTGCTTCCACTTGCAGGAAAACCAAGTATTTCCTGAGATAATTTCTGAATGTTTAGAGAAACGCTCTCTAAACTAAGGGTGACCAACCTCGGTCACTTTAAGACTTGTGGACTTCAACTCCCAGAATTCCCAGTCAGAAGAGCTGGCTGGCTGGGGAATTCTAGGAATTGAAGTCCACAAGTCTTTAAAAGTTGCCAGTTGGCGGAGTATTTCTGGGAGTTGAAGTCCACATATCTTGAAATTTCCAGGTTTGAGAAACATGGAGCTAGGCCAGTGGGTTCTCAACCTTTTCTTCCCCATGGACACCACAAGACTTCAGATTTAAATCGTAACATTTCTTCAAGCCTTCAAGGACCCTCTTGTGACATCACAGCCCCCCCCCAGGGGTCTGTGGTTGAAAAGCCCTGCTCTAAACCAGTGTTTCTCAACCTTGGCTACTTGAAGATGTCTGGACTTCAACTCCCAGAATTCCCCAGCCAGCGAATGCTGGCTGGGGAACTCTGGGAGTTGAAGTCTGGACATCTTCAAGTGGCCAAGGTTGAGAAACACTGCTCTAAACCATTTGGACCACCCATGGAACCCCAGGCCTTACCTTCTCCAAGGACTTCAGGACACTCTGCCTTTCGCGCAACTTTTGGATACTTAAGGCAATTTTGTGCCTCGCTCCTTTGGTCACATTCTGTTCGGGGAAGAAAAAGGAGGAGGAGAAGAGGGTTAAAAAAGGGAATTCAGACACACATCTGCCCTCCAGCCTTTATAGGAGGGACATATCTGCGTCTTCAGACTGGCCCCCAAAACAGTGCACGGCGTTGCATTTTGGGGGGGTGCCACTGCGACCAAAGTCAGAGGAACGGGAAACAATACCTGCGATTCCAGATGTTGCTCTGTGAGAGTCATCATCTCTTCGTAAGTCATTTGGGAGAAAAGGGCTGCGTATTTGTGGAGACGGAGGCTCTTCAGCCACGAGGGAACATCTGTGGGGAAGCACCAAGGCCTTAAGAACCCTGCCCCAAAAGCCCCGTTTCCTGGAGAAGACACCCCCCCCCCCCCCCCGGGAAGCAGGCTGCTGGTCTCCAACCAACAGGGCTACACACAGCCCTCCAATAGAAGGGCTTCAAGGGGAGATTTTTGGGGCAAAGTAAGAAGTTATTGAGTTTTCTAGAGCTGCTTCGAGGGCAGGGTCTGCTCAAAGTCTCCATGCTGGGGCTGCAAGAGCCCCCCACCCCCATCTTCACAATCTCTGGTGCAACGTTCGGGACAGCCAAATCGAGGCTAAGAAGGCCCCCTCCTCTTTCAAATGTATTTCTGGATGCCTCCTTAAGTAACTGGCTTACAAAACCCACTGAAGTGGCACACACTTAAGTCCTTGACTTACGACCATAATTGAGCCCAAATCGTCTGTTTCTAAGCGAGAAAGTTGTTAAGGGAGTTTTGCCCCATTTT